TGGGTTCTGCCCCTTTATAGCTTGATGCCATTAGGGTACACTGTGCACCAGTGTGTACCAGAGCCTTATACTCCTGTGGGTCTGATGTGCCAGGCCATCAAATCCACACAGTCCAGTAAACCCGGTTTTCCCTTTCCTCCACCTGGCTGGAGGCAGGGCCCCTTTAGTTCTGACTATAGTATCCCGCATCAATGAATGGGTTTGTGTGGCTCACATGGGTTCAAATCCCATCCTTATTATTCACTTCTTGGAAATACAAATCAAGAGTTCCTCCAAGAGGATCAGAAACCCTTCTGCCTTGTGTGGGGAATTGCCCACTGAAATCTGGAGCAACAATTCTTCAGGAAGAGCCCCCATTCATGGTTGTTCTCCCTTGCAACTGATGTACCCATGCCTGTAAGATCAAGGTAGGTTGTCCATCCCACTTCCTCATGTCCTCTCCATGGTCACGCAGGTAAAACCACAGGGTGCCTCATGGTGTGTACCCTCTATATCCTCTCTCTTGATCAGGAAAACGCTTACTCCTAAAATCTGAGATACTGGTCTGTACAAGTGGAGACTAGGACCTATCCTCTTTTAGTTGCTGGAACTCCCAGAACAGATTTTCAAACAGTCTTTCCACAGCTGAGATGCAGGCCCGTAGGGAAGTAGAAAGATTTTCTTCATACTGTTGGTTCCTCTTCATCTCCCCAGCTCATTGTTGCCAATACACTGGCATATGATGATGGTGTGCTCTGTAGAAAATTCCTCCATATGGGTCAGATATACTGGATATATATGGATCTGTCGTTGACTGTGGGTCGTCCAGGTCATGATAAATCAGGTCCTGCAAAGCTAATTCCCTCAGGTACTGGATACCTCTCTCCATGGTGGTCCACTTGCCTGGGTGACATATAATATCTTCCTTGAAGGGATACCTTTCCTTCACAGCTAACAGAAGTCACCTCCAGAGGTTGAGGGTTTGTGTTCTTTTTCTAATTGCCTTGTCAATACCTCTTCCCTAGACAGAGATCCCAGCTGCTTGGCTTCCCTGCCCTCTAATTCCAAGATACTGGCCCTGTTATCCCAGCATCGGAGTAGCCGGGTGTCAATTTACTCACCTGGAAGACGACTGAAATCTTTTTGTATATCTTGCATCTTGCCCAGGGATAAGGATTGGGTAATTACCTCTGGTTCTTCCTCCTGTTCTCGTGATGACCCTAGTTCATCATCATCCTTTCCTAAGTGACCCGATTCTTTTGTGCATCTCTTCTTCTGTATAGGGGTGACTAATAACAGCACGGGTTGGTTCTCTGGTCCAGTAGCCGCAGTGCCCCTTGTGGGGGTTGGAGTAGCCGAAGGACTCA